TCTCTCTGTCTGTCTCTCTCTCTGTCTGTCTGTCTATCTTTCTCTCTCTCTCTTTCTCTCTCTCTCACCACTCACATATGTGTTGTATGTGGATGCTGAAGTTCAGTCTCTTGTCTATGTATAGGTCAAGGAACTTTCCATAATCATTATTGCTAATGTTAACATTGTGTATCTGAAGTTGAATTTGGTTTCAGGATTTACTTTCGAACAAAAATAGTAGTCGGTCTTTTTTATGTTTGATGTGAGTTTGTTAGTTTACATCCATGAGTGGACTTTTTAAATCTATTATTTTTATTATTATATAGTGCGTTTGGGTTGGGGTCTGAATAGAGGAAGGTAGCATCGTCAGCACTTATGTTTACACTTATTGGAAGTATCTAAGTATCAACTAAAGTATCTTCACACTTGACTTAAACTTTAGTAGCTATTTTCTGGACCATTCCTCAAGTTTCGGAGGTCAACGAAGATGGAATTCACATGAAATGGCTTATGTTACCATCACTAATAATGTTGTGTTTTCTGTCTAGCTTCAGACACGGTCATGTTACAATTGTGTCTTAGAGAGTTGCGCGCAATTAAGCATGATAGAAATCACTTACAATTAATGCAGGATGGTAGAAAATCACTTACAATTAATGCATCAAGTTTGGAGACTTGAATTGAAATTGAAATTGAAATAAGTTTATTGAGGTAAAATACACACAAATGGATGAGGTAGCTCAAGCTATTCTCACCCCGTTCAGTACATCGTGTTAATACATAGACACACACACTTGTACACATTTTAGTGTAACAAGCAAGGCAAATAGTTCTGTCTGATGGGTAGAGGCAACTGCACTTGCAGCTGCACCCGTGTGGCGGTGTAGGAAACCATCAATGTATATGATTTGAGAGAGAGAGAGAATGATCTGTAGACAGAGCATCAATATGGCGTAAGGTATTGGGCTTTGCCTCAAGATGAAGCATAATAAAGAACCCGAATATCAGGAGAAAAAATTACATTAAAAACTGTCCACATGATACATATATATAATCACGTTTTAAACATTTTAATTTTATTATTTGCATATATATATATAATTAGGAAGTAATGTTTATCTGGGTAAGTTGTCAGCTTTTATGAACTAATAGCTAGTGCGGCTTGTATACTGGGTACATCCGGTCTCTTACCCTCGACTGCGGCGGTAACTTTATGGTCAGGAAGCCACAAATATTTACAGTTCAAGTTCAAGTATGTTTATTGAGACAAGAAAAAAATACATCTCAAAGGGATAGAGTAACTTAGGCTATTTCTACCCCCTCTACTTCAAGTCCCTCAAGGGGCGTACAAATTCAGTAAGTACAAATAGACAATTAGCATTACAAGAATCCCATTTAACATTGCAGGTTAATATAGTAAGTACAGCATACAATTGTTACACTCTTGGGGCAAAATTTTTGTAGCTCCTAAGTATACTGTCTATCATACCATTATCACACATACAAACAATTTGATGTGGTACATTACTTATTTCCTTATTTCTATAGTTATCAATAAGTTGACACTCTAATACATAATGTTCTAAGGTGTGGGCGTGCGGCATACTACATAATTTACACTCCTTATCTTTTTCACTGACATCAACTCCGTATTGCCAGATATATTTGTATCCTAATCTTAATCTCATGTAAATTGAATCCTTCCAAGTTGACTTTCCTTTATCATAGGTGAAGGACGAGTTTGTATTTATTACTGAATAATTCTTAAGTGTGTTACTACTATCCACTATTGCCATTCTTTTTATCATTTCTTCATCTTCATTTCCTCTTATTAATGTTATATATACATGTACACATAATCATACATACATGTACATATATATACATATGAGGTAAATCCAGAGAAATGAAATATGGATTTTTCCGCATACAAATGATTATTGTTTCGTGATCGTCAATTGCATATATACATATACATACATATACATTCACATACATATTCAATCACCCACACAAATACACACATCAATAATCTTTGTATCACAAGTGATTCAACAAGAGGCTCACAAGTCACTATACAAGGCACTTTACATCTATGGTGAGTCGTCCAATTACTAGTCTTGCTCTACACCCACCCAACTGGGCGGCAGCTTTACAGTCATGTGCTCCACACCCACCCAACTGGGCGGCAGCTTTACAGTCATGTGCTCCACACCCACCCAACTGGGCGGCAGCTTTACAGTCATGTGCTCCACACCCACCCAACTGGGTGGCAGCTTTACAGTCATGTGCTCCACACCCACCCAACTGGGCGGCAGCTTAACAGTCATGTGCTCCACACCCACCCAACTGGGCGGCAGCTTAACAGTCATGTGCTCCACACCCACCCAACTGGGCGGCAGCTTAACAGTCATGTGCTCCACACCCACCCAACTGGGCGGCAGCTTAACAGTCATGTGCTCCACACCCACCCAACTGGGCGGTAGCTTAACAGTCATGTGCTCCACACCCACCCAACTGGGCGGCAGCTTAACAATCATGTGCTCCACACCCACCCAACTGGGCGGTAGCTTAACAGTCATGTGCTCCACACCCACCCAACTGGGCGGCAGCTTAACAGTCATGTGCTCCACACCCACCCAACTGGGCGGCAGCTTTATAGTCATGTGCTCCACACCCACCCAACTGGGCGGCAGCTTAACAGTCATGTGCTCCACACCCACCCAACTGGGCGGCAGCTTTACAGTCATGTGCTCCACACCCACCCAACTGGGCGGCAGCTTAACAGTTATGTGCTCCACACCCACCCAACTGGGCGGTAGTTTAACAGTCATGTGCTCCACACCCACCCAACTGGGCGGCAGCTTAACAGTCATGTGCTCCACACCCACCCAACTGGGCGGCAGCTTTATAGTCATGTGCTCCACACCCACCCAACTGGGCGGCAGCTTAACAGTCATGTGCTCCACACCCACCCAACTGGGCGGCAGCTTAACAGTCATGTGCTCCACACCCACCCAAATGGGCGGCAGCTTTACAGTCATGTGCTCCACACCCAACCAACTGGGCGGCAGCTTAACAGTCATGTGCTCCACACCCACCCAACTGGGCGACGGCTTTACAATCATTTGCATGAATTACTTACAGTAAGCAAATTTTAGATACTTCGCTAAGATTTCGGGCAGCACATCATTATAAATGAAGTACTTACACTTTTCTTGGACACCAATGATGGTGTTATCTCTGAATTCCGCGATTTTTTTTAAATTCCAGTACTGTATATAATGACGCAAAGTATGCGAATAGTTCTGCAATAGTGATCCTATCCTGCGTCATAATTTACATACATATCTACTTCTGTTTTGTGTATTAAAATTACTACATTTTTATGTTAATTTATTTCTGTAAATGATGATGATGATAAATTTCAATAAATGTAAGTAAGAACATAAGAACGGAAACTGGTCGCGTAAATGGAAATGGTTGGGTACATTTCCTTTCACCTACCTAATGCGAATATTCATGTGTTCGGACACTGGCGATGGTGTGGTATTGCCTATTTATTTGACCATGTCTTTGCTTTCATTTAAGATATGTTTTCCTTGAAATGTATTTACATTATCGTCTACATCTGTCTTTATTCTGAAATAAAAACCTTTGACGTTACTTTGCATATATGTACATTAATTATAAAATTGATTGGCTTGTGTGCAGGCCTTCACACTCCCTGAGCGAGCCATCAAGTAACTATAAAAAGGCATATATCTTCACTTTCACTTCAGTTATATTTATACCAAAGTATTAACATGCAGCTTATATGTCTTTCTGATGACATAAAAAACTTCGTTTTTTACAATATATAGATTCAATTAACATTGATCTTCGGAAGGTCATAGTTCCCATATCGGTAAGGAGAGCGTCGGCCAAGAAGCCTTGTTTAAAATATGAATATTTTTCCTCTCTAATAAGGTATAATCTCTGTGATGCATTAACACAAACTATTTTATATCTGCCTTTCTGATAACATATATAAATATAATCTTTATTTGTGAATATTTGTTAATTAAGCAATATATCAGAGGGCGTGTAGGGTTCGGTGTTCTATGAACGAAAAGGACTGGAGTAGTTTAAATAGCGAACGCATACCAACGAATAACGCTAGTATCTATATAACAAATTTATTGTCATGTGGAATTGATTTAACTTCCAGACACTTTTTTTTAATAAATATTAAATATTTTGTGGCTGTTTATGAAAAATATTATTATAAATACACATTCTACTTGTTAATATTACCAATTAAATTTGCGACAATTTGAGCCATGAAATACGACGACTGGATCACTGTGTACAGGAGGCTGTTATGGCAGCAAACACTCTCCAGGCGACCATATATCTTGGATAAGTCGCTCCACACAATTGTCGCTTGGACCGTCGACTTCCTATGGCGTCACCTCTCACATATTTACGTCTCATTTCGTTATGAAATTAGATTATTTCAGAGTAAAAATAGGTTTGATCATGTTCTACGTGTAGCACCAACATTATAGTAAGTAAATATACCATATTTCTTCATTACTTACGTAATGCTAATACGATTTGGGTAGTTTTGGCCTGATTTGGGTCGATTTGGGTAATTCTATGGACCCTTTTTATCTGCTTTTTACTCATTAAAATGCTAATGATATAGTTAGTATACTTTAACACAAAATATTCTTATTAATTAAGATATATGAATACAATAGATTATAGGCATTTTTGGTTGTGTATATTGTTGATTTCATAAATTAAAAAATTTACCTCACTATAAATAAAATATATTATGTATTATTATGGGCGCATTTATGTATTATTTATGTATTATTATTATGTATAAATAAAAGTAGTAGAATTTGATGCAAAATACTATGGTAAAGCGGACACAAATATTTTATACAGCAATATGAATGAAAATATTACTATTTGTTTTGAAAATAGTGGTGGCATCTGGCGGCCAGGTGAGAAACACACAGGAAGGGGCCGTTCTCGAAAGTTAGACATAAGAATATACAAAATATACTCATAAATCCTTTACAAATTATTAATTATTGATTGAAAAATACTTACATATAATATTATATACTTATTTGAATAATTATTTAAGAGACAGGTAAATTCAGGGATAATGTATTCAATATATTTTCTGTATCGGGCCTACTCCGTCCATGTTGTTTAGCTCACCTGAGCCACGCCTGTTACACCTTTCCTGGGATTTAATTTCTGTTACGTTGAGGATAAACATTATTTTTGCCATTGGAACGATTTAAAGCTACAAGGTAATGCATATTTCTATATGTTTATGGTTTTGGCTTTTTTTTTTAAGCTGAGAGCTCTAAATCTATTTGGCACCATCGTTTTGTGTAACGCATTCAAGTCACTAGCTCGCTTATCAGAGCCCTAAGCTATAGTTTATAGTATGGTTAGGTTATGGTAGGCTATGAATGGGTAGGTTATGGTAGGCTATGAATGGTTAGGTTATGGTAGGTTATGGTAGGTTATGAATGGTTAGGTTATGATAAGATTTGTAAGGTTAGGCTATGATATTCTATATAAGGTTAGGCTGTTTTTTTTATGTAAATTTATACTATACTATACTGAGACTAGGTTATACTATAATGTATTAGGTTAGGTTAGGTTTAGTCGGCTTTAATTAGAAACTGGTTTGAACCGAGTTACTTGTCGTGTAACAATTCAGTCCCAGACATTTATGCACCATTATCAAAGCCAAGCCTTTAAGTCCTAACTATTTTCTTATTATATAGTTCACACACACGTGTCAATGCTTTAATTTTCTTGAAAGACATTATTTTTATGTTCAGTTTCTTACAGGCAAATATAGGTAAGTGTTTACCAATTTTTTAATATGAATTAAAGCGTTTTCAAGGAGTTGTAGTATAGTGTTTTTCATTGATTGTAGTTAATGCTCTTTAGAATAGTAATTTGTTGTTCTTTATTTCTCTTTCTAAGTTTTCATAATGTTTCTATTATTTATTAATACTGTGCTTGAATTTATCATTAACTCTGTTTTATTTCTTTTAATTTTTTTATGGCAACTGCTTGTGTATGCACACAGCTGTGAGTCAATCTCCAGATCCTTGCTTGGCCCAACCTACCTGAAGCCTGTCTCTATGTCGAATCCAAACCTGGAGATGAACTACGTGGGGGATTATGTACCCCATGACAGATTGTAATTACGTTATCGCCCATTATTTTGGCTTGTGTTGCATTTGGGAATTAACTGCTTTGCATCGTGGTCCATAGCTTTAAAAACTCATAAGTTAATATCTAAGATGGTAACTAAATTGATAAACTTGTACCTGTACATATGTATGTATTGCTTATACAGTATATATATGTATGTATGTGTGTATATAGTATATATATATTTACAGTCCTCAGTATCATGGGAAATAACATATCTTTAGCTTTGATCATCAAAGATTAAACACAGACCAGTAAAGTATGAGGCCATTCCCCTGCCAGGAAGGACAGGATGCTCACAGCAAGGAATGGATAGTAATCAATCCTTCATCCACATCAAAAAATGTAATCCACTATATTATGGGTCATAAAATTATAATCCACTATACATTTCATTCACTTGGATCATCAGGGATTGAACTTGGTCATGTGAAATATGAGACCATCACTCAACCAACCAGACAGGATGCTCACGACAAGAAATGTATGAGACGTACCTAACTGGTACTCAAGTCACCCAAGTTCAATTCCCCAATGATACAAATTAATAAGCAGACTATTTATAAATCATTTAATGTTACAGTATTGTAATAATTTTGTATTTGAACTTAGCAAGCAATTTAGGCTATCCAGATATAACTTAGAGGTTGTGTCACTCACCGTAAAGAGAGCATTGTTGGAGAGAGAGAGAGTGGTTTGCTTCTTCAAGCTAGACAGGCTTTCTGGATGGGTTAGGTTATGCCAAGGTTAAATTAGGCTTGGCTCATTTTGGTTAGGAATGAGTTATAATAAGATGACTAGTCTTATTATAACCATAACTGCCAGAAATATGGCTACCTAACAAAATCAATCTAGCTAAACCTGACTCGCCTAATTTATCTAGAAAATTTTGCACGATTTACAGCTATTGTGCTGAGCTGTAAATAGTGTATATATGTTTGCACTGCGTGCTGATGTATATCTTGTGTATTTTAAATTCCATGTGTACAGTAGCTCAGTGCCTAATTTTCACTACCATCTGAACCTACCCTCAAGCTACATCATATGAATTTGATGATCAAAACTCCCGTCAATTTCCTCGTCATTTAAAATGAAATTATCAGCCTACGGTGCATTCCATTAGCTCTTTATGTTAGAAAGACCTTCAATTAGATTACATTTTCTTTTTATTGTACATATCTAACAAACTAATTTTTCTAAACATACTTATTGGACAAAGGTTGCAGATAAACAAAATTGTACGTAAGTGTTCTAAGCATGATGTGATTGCCAATAGAATGAAGATGGGGGAACATTATGAACTACTATACAATACTGTACAGTGTTAGTCTTGACATCTTTGTTGACTTCAGATATTTTTGTCCATGTCTCGGCCTGTGTCTATAAACATACTAATTATTTTATTGAATGACATTTAAACTCGGTATTTATTAACAGTTCAGTAACATATAAAAAACATCTCAAATGCAGCATATTTTATACATGCACAGCGGTCAGTGCAGCTGGTTCACAACCGAAAGGTCCCAGGTTTTGAGTCATGAGCAGGCGGAGATGTTGTAGCATGTTTCTTTTCACCTGATATCTCTGTTTACCTAGCAGTTTCCTAGTAAATAGGTAACTCAGTTTGGCAACTGTTTTGGGTTGCATTCTGGGAAAGATCAATAATTGGCCTATGAGGACCTCATAAGACAGGCTTCTTGTCCCTGACTGTTGGAAACCAAAACCAAATATGTAAGTACAGTAAATGCATATTAATGGACATTTCTCTTAATACAGTACTGAACACTTCCCCTGAGGTCAAATATGTTATATATGTATATAATTTTTGGAGTTTGTTCCATGTGAGAATATATTCTTTGGAATGGCCCCTGTCCAGTAGCTCCTCCAAACTGTTATTGTACTGATTTTTTTGCCAAGCCTTTGGGAATCAAACAAGGCCTGAGACCCACCCAATCCTTTTAACCAGGAAGCTTGGCTATATGAATGGTAATACTGTAATACTATAAATTTAGTATAAACCATAATTCTTTGTTCACTCTGACTTGGATACTGTATAGTCTATTTTCAACTAGCATATTTTCTCAATTTAGAGTTTTGTCTATTTTCTTACTTTTTGTATTTCCTGTAATGAGTTTAATTTCTTAGTATTCGCATACAAAAAAAAGTAACACTAAATTATAGCATGCCACTGTATATACAGCATATCCATAACTTTTGTTTAATTTTCTACATTGTCAGAATGCCTAGTATGTCAATAACTGGCAGCATATCCGGGCTGTCAACAACATCCCGGCTCTCAAGAGTGTCCCGTGCTTCAACTGTACGTTCTGTGGCCACCCTTACTGAAACTCTTCATACCAAAACTGGATTGTCAATTCCCATTCTACCTGATGCCTTTATCACAAACGTACAGCGAGGTTCAGTCATTGCTGCCACATATTCAATTGTGAGTAGAATTACAAGCAAAAGAATGTCATTGGTTTTGATTTTTGTAGGATTTTTTTATAAGGTTTTATACTTAAATTTGTTAAGATTTATTTTGTATAGATAATATTTATTTTATATATTTTAAAGATGTGAGAGCATTTGTTGAGGAATATTAACGAAATACATAGATAAATGTATATTAAAGGTACAATGTATTGAAATCAAATTTATGTTTGAAATGTGTGGGAGAGGTTTTGTAGTCTAGACGCTAGCGTGTGTGTGTGTGGGGGGGGGAACAGCCACCACTTAGGTTCGAACCCGCATCACTGCTCCCATGGATATTCTCATTGATGCAGTCATGTTGGTGTGATCGCTCTCAGTGTATTGAGAGTACTGTATTATTATTATTATTAGTGATATTATTATTATTATTGATAGTATTATTGTTATTAATTTTATTATTACTATTATTATTATTATTATTATTATTATTATTATTATTATTATAAAATCATAGAAATTTTAGCACAAGACGATATACAGTTCTTTATACATTATCGAGTACTGTGTGTTCATCTGATATTTTTTTTACACAGGCAGTCTTTCCCCTGACAAAATGAATTACTCCCTATTTCCATATTTATTTCCTTCCGAGGCACCATCATTCAGTGTGTTCCTCAAACATTTGTACCACCTTTAGCTTTGTGTAATGCTCTATCTAAATGCAATATATGTATATATTTCTATAGTATACATATCTTCCAGATTCAGGGATTGTTTGCTATAGTGACTGGACTGTTCGACATCTATGCCTTGTCCCTTGCTGCGCCAGGTTCCAGTCATTATGGTTTCTATCTCTTCTCATATGACTTTGTTTATTCTGGCAATCCTCATGGTAAGATAATTACTAACAAATTTGTTCTCTGCTTCTTTTTTGTATTTAACCTGTACTGTTATGTTTTCTTTATTGCTTTAATGCCAAATTTTAACACATTACAGTATTCGTACTATTTTCTATTTATAAAGTACATCTATTGCAATACATACACCTAATTCTTACTTACATTTCTATTTATTTGTCCCATCTAAGTATTGATTTCTTTCATCAAAATTCCCTTATCACCTCATGATCATTCCGATATATTTTATAATGAAACCTTTTCCAAAACATGATTATCCTGAATTCCTAGGAAGAATATGCATTATAATACAGTAATAAAATGACTTGGTAACATCCCACAGGGGTTTTATTCCTTTTGAGGCCCATATACATTTGGATGTTATTTCTCTTATACAGTACTGTATTTTTAGTCCAAATAAGTGGTGATTGTCTTCAATTGAATAAAAGTCAAATTAACATTTAAAAGCTTTCAAAGAATTTGTAAAGTGTAGAAAATTCAAGTGGATAAATAATACTGTATAAAGAAGATAATTTTAATCTTGTTTGAGTTGCACTAGAATTCAACAGTAATCACTCTTTTCAACACTTTATAAATTCAGTATGTAATTTAATTTTTTAGTTTCAGGTTTAGTTAAATAAGCCTGAAATATTTAGAGATATTTACTTACTGTATTTACTTATCAAGAAAATATCTCTGTTCACAGATATTTCAATGAGAGATTCTTCAAGAGATTTCACCTTGTTTAAAGCCAGTTTGAGTTTTCTTTAAACTAATTTATGCTTTGATTTTTTTTAACTCATTACTTCCTAGCAGCTTATTCATGTTAGATTACTAGGTTTAGCCTCCTACTGACCATTTTACCATAAAATACTTTAATTGTAATTACTGTATAATGTATAAATCTTCATTGCTTTCAGTTCGGAATTCCTTGATGCTGTTCGGTGGAGTAACAGCCTTTGGGGGAATCTCTCTCATTTTGACAAGTGTTATTCTGTTGCAAGGACTTCGAAAGGTAGGAATATATTTCGTGTTTTTATTAACACAGATGAATAATAATATAATTTTAAATTAAGAATTGACTGCAGTGTGTGTTGCACCTTAGTTAAGATTGTAACCCATCAATCACAGATTGGCATACTCTGCTCACAGAATCGATGGATATCTTGTCCTTTGGCTGAGTACAGTACTGTACAGTATTTGCATTTGACTGTTGGTCCACAAAAGATGTTCAGTAACTTTGAGACTCGACATTTGTTTTTCTCATTTCTCTTTAATTGCATTTGTAGTCAAATAAAGAATGCCCCTCTTTTTAAGTCTATGATTAACATCAACAAATAAGTCTTCAGTACTGTCTGAAACATGGAGTACTCAAAAAGGAGAATGCTCCAGAGGAGGAACCCAACCTCTCAGAGAAGATAACTTTGATAGGGAAAAGGGAATCTTGAACAAATACTAGGTAAGATAACTAGAACCAAAGTTAGAGAACTTTGTAAGTACGAAAGACACGGCGTTATAGGCATAGAACTCAATCATGAAACATAAATAATAAAGGCACAAAGATGACCAAACCACACATCAGAAAATGGAGAAATGATGACTTTTGGTTTGTCCTGGACCATTATCAGCAGGGGTTATTACCTATGGCCAACTGTCAGTCGTAATGTTTTCCTATTTTTTCACTCATTTCTCTATAATCATTGATTATTTGGCAAGACCTTTGTCTTGTCAAGGTCTTGTTAGTTATTGTTTTGATTGATTAATTGATCTTGTTGACCAAACCACACACTAGAAGATGAAGAGATAATGACGTTTTGGTCCATCCTGGACCATTATCAAGTCAGTTGTGATAATGGTCCAGGATGGACTGAAACATCGCTGTCTCTTCATCTTCTAGTGTGTGGTTTGGTCAGCATTTCTTTGGCCATGTTATTGTGACTCTTCACCTTGTTAGTTATTAGCAGCTCATTTGAATCAGTACCTTAAGTTTGAGGAAAGCTACTGAAGGGTCCTGCACAGAAATTGTGGATACTGTATTAGGTCCTAATGTGGGTGGACAACAAAGGTAATGATGAGACTTGCTTTTGGAAGGCAACTCGCCTGCTATTCATGGGTAGCAGGCCGGTTAAATTAAACTTTAAAAGTCTATGAGAAGTTTATGTAAAAGCAATTTTTTTGTGCTTGTTAGCCAAATTAATGGTCACTCAGTCATTCATTTAAAAAGAAATTAATTTTTATAAATAATTTCAGAAGGGGTCCTTTGTACTATGCAGTGCAATATATTTTGATATATACAGGGTTTGTAAAATGTTTGTAAGCTATATCTGTTAAGGAGTAAAAATATTTACACTGGTTTAAAATTGTATTTCCAAAATCTCTAATTAGAGTACAGTACATTCATACATACCTCTTATATTACAGGAAATGGAAATGCGTTTGGAGCCATGGATTTGGTGTATGGCAATCTTCACAATCTGGCGTTCACTTGTCATTATCTATGCATCAATTGTTAATGACATGGTGTTTTCATACCACATACTCATGTGCCTGTTATGGATACTCTTTATCCTAGGCAATGTGTATGCTTGGCTGGTGGTGCACTCGTTCTACCACGAGCTATGTGAGGTCACAAGGCTTGAAGATGTTGCTAGGGTAAAGGTAAGTAATATACTAGAAGTAGTAGTGTGGAGCAAAATTAAACTTGTAGTTTTTATTAACATTTTATTGCAAATTAGTAGTTTTATTTATAAAATAACACTAGCAGTCCTCCCACTTTCCATGTGCCTGACTATAAATATTCCAGGCCTTTTAACGTTAAAAAAAAGGAAATGTGCATACTTGATTAGTCTATAAAGTGTAAAAAGAACATAAACATAACTTTCATACTTTTCCGTCAGGTAATTTGCAAAGCAATCACCACCTTGAGTGGTGGTTGGCCGAGGTGCTCACTAGGTGGTCCTCTTGATACTTTGGTTGGTTCCCTAATCAGATCTTGCCTCACTTTTCTCATGTATTTTAAGAGTTTCATCATACAAATTTAATTAGACTTGAGAATTTGGAACATGTTTGTTCAACACTTAGATACTCTTGAAATCCAGTCAACCAACCATATGAAGGCTCTGGCACACTGTTTATCTCCAGCTTCATCTTGTTACTACAGTAACATGATTGTAACTTTGGTAACTTAGCTTTAAACACAGCTCATTTCAAATGGAAAAAAATACACTCGTCAAATAAATGTTTCTTTGGTGAGACTTCATATTAACTGATAAAAAATAACAATTCTTAGCTTGCAGTTTCATTAGAAACATCAGTGATGTTCCTAATGTTTAAACATCTTTGTTTTAGCAAAAATAAACTGAATTTATAAATAAAATTTCTAATCTACAGTAAAATGATAATAAAAATTACAAGTTCATTGTTGAAGTACTAATGATGCATGTTAGTATCTTCAGAATGCTAAGGTATGAATAGTTGTGAAACAATTAGTCGTTCACTGTTTTAGCTATTATGTAACTGCAACTTTGTATAACTGAAACCACTGCTACATACCGTGTATATGGAAAAATTGGTATTCACTATATTTGATGTCAGTGTTCAGCTTGAGTGCATCGTAGTTGTAGTTTATAGTGGCATTGCATGGTATTAGTGAATAAATGTCTAGTTTCTAGTAAAGGGTTGGAGTCACTTGAGCCAGAAAAAGGAATGGTGTTCACTTATGTTCATTTTCTTGTCAAATTATCTTGCTTTTTTAATAATTGGCCATTTTAGCACAGGTTAATTCTGGGTGGGCCCCTTCAGTAGCTTCCTGAGCTTAGCACTGGTCCAGCCACCCCTTAGAAAGATGCACCAGGTCTCTGAAACCTACCCTTTCTTACCAGGAGCCACCACCAGAATCTGTCTACAAGGTGAGGGGTAGTTCGGGAATTGGAGGTCCCTCCAAAACTGAAAAAAAAGGTCAGAAGGTATAAGTGCAAAAAAACAAGCCACTGCTTCAATAAAATTGGGTACCTTCAGGTAATAAGGCAAATGATCGATTCCGTGTTATAAACACCCTAGGATCACTTAGGGTAGGATCTTGATTCATCACTTCTGGCTTTTCCAGGTGAAGTTCTATGGCTCGCTCCTCATCCATTGTTCGACCTGTTTCCATTTATGTTGGACTTCAGCTGGGGGTTTATTTCCAGCAGTCACCATTTGGGCATGTCGGATGTCCTTGCGAATGGTCTTTCTCATTTCATCTGATCACAACCACCTTCTTCTGACCTTGGAAGACTTTGTTGTCTGCATTTGTACCTCATCACTTCTGCTTTTATGAATCATGAGGATTTTGCATTGGATATCTTTTATCTGAACTGGTGTCTGTGGCCTTATCTTTACCATTTTTCTGTAGTCCATCAACTCCTTTCTGCATTGGTCAGGTTGGAGACTTATGGGCCAAGTGCTCTGAGTTCAATGTGGCTAGTTTAACCCTGGTTTAATGGCCCATTTCCCGGTTCTCTTGCCTTCCTGAGTCTCTACTTCTTCCAGGGAATCAACACCTTGGACAATCTGCCAATTGGTCGAGTTGTTGATCCAACAAATTAACCCACCCCCAGTGCTATAGCTCGGGAAGTTACGGGGTCGCCCACCAGAAAAAGCCATTTCTTACATTCAACATCTGATTTTTTTGGGGGGGAGGGCTCCCTCTCACTCTCATATTAAAAACGGATATAGACTTTGAGGTCAAGGAAAATTGTATACATTAATAATACAGTAATTGAATTTGTAAATATTTTACTGTGAATACTGTAAAAACATTTTTGTTTATTGTCAAGTAATTAATTGTAGATTGGTAGTAATTATAACATATTGTGATGTGACTACAGTACTGTAATGGTATAATATGCCATTTAACTGTGTCCAAACAGGATAGCTCTACTGGAACTGCAGCTAGGTTTAATGACTGAACTATTAAGCAATCTGTCAAATTGTAACATTTGATGTGTATAATGGATATTGGAATGGTATTTGCAGCACATTTTATCGATATATTTATAAGGAGCTATATTGCACAATACATGAAATTCTATCTGTAAACAAGTTTTAATACGGGACTAGACTTAAAGATTAGATAATGAAAGTGCCAATTTCTTTTACCAATTTAATAAAACTTGGTATCATAAATTTGCATGTGTTTACCTTTAGTTTGCTGTTGTAAGCTAAAGATAAAGTCTTCTGCAGTTATAATTTCATACCTTCCTAATTATTTTTGGGTGAGAGGAAATGGACTGGCTCAGGAACTGTATTTTTATAATGGTAATTAGCTCTTCAACTTAAATGGCTATTTCTTCCAAGGGAAGAGTTAAATACTACTCGTTACATATTTTTCATAATCTAAGTGCAACTAGTTTCTACTTTCTGTAATATATAATTACAGCAATTAGTGGTAGTATCTTAAGTTCTTAAATGCATTTACTGTAATTTCTTTCTTTACTGAGATAAGTGATCCCAATTTACTTAAAAATTGGAATAATATATGATTGGTAAAGTTATTAGTTTTCCTAGTTTTCCAAATCTTATGTTTGAAAATCAGAAAGGCATAAAAATTAGTATTTATCTTATTTAATTTTGGCTTAATGCTGTTCAAATATATTTTGCATAAAGCCAGAGGAAATCATTATCTCGGTAGACAGTCTATTTTATTAATGATATATCTTACGCTACCTTAATTTCCTGCACCCTTTTACAGATGGACACAATGAGCACCATGGGGTACAGTTCACGCCCCACGACTCCAGGGGCACGTTCTACTATTTCCACACAGATGGACTATAAAGTTTAGGAGATCTATATATACATAACTGAACAAATTACCAAAATGGTCCTAACTTCTCTTTTTAGCTTTGAAAATAAGTGTTTAGCTTTTGCATTGAAAAATCTTTGTTATTGTTGTGTTCAATGGCCCAAAGTTATTCTGCATGGGATACAGAATATTCTTGTGTGAATACATTAAGAAAGTGTAATTAATGTTTAGCTTATGTTTAGATAGTATTTCTCTTATTTAATCAGTAAGCTAGGACCATTTAGGAATGTGATGTGTGTTGATAACTTGGTCAGGTAAATAGATCAAATTAATTTTAACTGTTATACTGTATAACTAATTTTACATATACATTGGCCTTATTTCATTGAAATTGCTGAATTTTAATTATGTACATGTAAATATCTTGCAAAGTGTTGCAAATAATTCAGAAGAAACATTTAAGGTTAGTCTAAAAGAAGATGCACCTGCAAAAGTGTAGGAAATATATTTTCATAGAAAATAATATAACGGTTATAAACTGTATACAGTACTTTATATGCAGACGATGAGTCACAATAACGTGGCTGAAGAAATGAAGACTAAACCACACATCAGAAAATGAGGAGATGATGATGTTTCTGTCCGTCCTGGACCATTATCAAGGCGATTGTGCTTGACTTGATAATGACTTCCAGGGCGAGCGTGTGTCTTGTTTTCCGACCGTCCCCCGTGGTCACCTGTCCCTCGATAGAATTCTTGGCGACTCGGATACTTTTGATATCATTCGCCTTATGCGTTTTTGTTCTCGTATTGGCATCCTTGGTGATATTTAGCGCCCTCTGATTATCCCGCACATTTAATGGTGCTACATAGCCTTCCCAGTTTGGTGCCGTCTATTGATAATTACTTGACTTGATAATGGTCCACAATCGACATGATAATGGTTCAGGACAGACTGAAACGTTGTTGTTTCCTCATCTTCTGGTATGTGGTTTAGTCTTCAGTACTGTATATGTATTTATTACAGAGTCATTAACAGTGGAGGAGCAGCCACACACTAGAACAGCTAAGCTTATGTACCTAATAGAAGTCTCGGTTCATCTGTTTGATGTACTCTGCAAATGTTTAAATTCATGAATCTCGTATATTTAGCTGATGAATGCTACTGCGCACAAACATTTATGATGTGAATCTCCCAGGTGATTGCATGGATGTCATAACATTCATCACCCATTTTATATTCCTGTATTTCAGATGGAGACAATGAGCTCATTCACAGCCTCGCGACCCACTACACCGGGTGCGAGGTCTGATGCGTCCTCTAAGATGATCGCTTGAACATTAATACACGACACGATCAAACTTTGGTATCGGCTAAGAAAAGCAGGTTAATACTAAAGATACACTGATTTTCACATCTTACCAGCAAATGCCAAAAACAGAATTTGAAGTACTGTATATCAAAACCTCTTTAAAAGCCTCCTAAAAATCATGTATATTTGTTGTTACAATTTCTGTTGGAAATTATATAAACTCGTAGTACATAAGGAATTATTTTTATATAATGAAGCAAGTTGCACAAGCTGTACAAGTTTTGTAGTATTCATAAAATAATTGATAGATGATTCTAAAGAAAAACATTATGCATAGTAAAATGAAGTTCCTTGGCATGATTTACCAAGTTGAAGAGGTTTTGCTATATGAAACTGGGGTTTGTGTATTAGGGCATACATCCATTCACAATAAATTCCCTGTACTTTCTTTTAAAACAACCACTCACAGTAGAAAATATTAATTAAAAAATCACTGATTAGTTGACCATGGTTGCTTTTCAAAGCCCTACTATGGCAGAATTAAAGGAAATAATATTTTTCACTGTCTGCACTTGCACTACCGCACTCCTCTTGTCTGCTTTGTTTTTTACATCTCTCTCTCTTTTTAGTGAATGCTGCATATAATTATAATTCTCTCCTTTTCCACTATTTGTGCCTATTTGTGTTTCACCATTTTTTTACTGACTTAATATACATGCTAAGACATGTCCTAATTCTTTTCATGCCTTCTTTCTCCCTGCAAGCAAGTGATAGTTGCTTCACATATTAGATTGGTAAACCTACATGTGGAAATGTAACACATGACTTGAGGACTCTCAAATTTCTTCAGCACTAAATGGAACTTTACAATATTTGGACAGATTCTGCATGAAACAATTCCCTCCTGAAAGGAAAGGCTTTTTTTTTTTAACTCATTAAGAGCAGAGTTGCAAAGAGGAACAAGGCATCGATGATAGATAGCTACATTTCCTGCACAGCTAACATCTCACAACATTATCTCTTGATTGAATCGCCTGATGTTTTGTACTGGGGTTTCTTGCACTCCTTTGCACATATTAAAAAATCCTGCCTTGTTTTCATCATGGTGTCTATATTGTGAGTGCCTTGTTGACTTGTAGCATAATCTTTGACAGCTCTGTCAATGCCAATTTTACGTCAGAAGTGGCTTTGGCCTCAATTGCAGTGGTTCAATGATGGCAAAAATTTAATGTCTATTACAGCAAGAATTTGCAAATTTCCTATCAGATTGTTCTATTAATTTGAGAGGTTTTGGTGAAATATAACACGTGTGTACATACATAGGTACACTGTTTCGTACTCAAGTGCAAGACCTCACACCTATTGTATCAGTAATATTTGTGATGCTTTGTAAGGTAATAATGACTATAGCAGTTTTGTGATCAATTACATCATTTATTCATTTTATTGATTGTGTAATGTCTATTGTTATGAGGGTTGTGTCTGTATAAGCATGTGTATGTGTATTTATGTTTATATCTTTGTATATACACTTAAGGTTGGGAATTATAATTTCAGTTCTTATGATCTTATATATAGATTAACAACGTTCTAGAAATCATTCTTATGCACCATTCAAATTTGTGAACAGTGTAACATTGCAGTGGGGTGGAGCATGGTGGCTTGCTCCACAAAGCCTGCTCGGCTGAAAGATGTTTAATGGGAACATCCTTGACATAAGTTTGGTAAGTTCATCGTTTACGAACCATTTCACTGTCAGTGGCCTTAATTGTCATGTCACTTGAAAGAATATTGGATCTTTTAAACAGATACACTTATGAACAGTTAAATGGTTCCACTTTCAAGTTCATAGAGTCACTCTCAAAAATACACGCAAGCCAGTTTCAGATAATCTTCGAGGGTTATGTATCCCAGAATGGTATCCCATAATGCATAACTGTATAGTGAAGTTACAGAAATTGGGAAACATTAGCAATTTTTAAAGATTATAGACAAATTTCAGATTAATACAATCACCATTTTACCTTAGCCACTTTGTTTACATCATGATTACAGGCTCCAGGAGACAGAGTGGTGGTGATTTTAGTTTTGTGGGGTATGAATGCCTTTGACTTAAAAGAATTCATATTGTTTAGAAGAAATAGCACTGAAGAAAATTGTGTTTAGATGATAGCTATTTTTAACTGAGTGAAAGATTGACCAGAATATAAACTACAGTATTTGAAATTTATATTGATGTATGAGAGAGAGAAGTTCATTAAAAGGAAATATGGGCAAAAGAAATGTTACAGCATTAATGAGAGTAGAAAATTGTTTGTGAATTTAATGTGGCTGGTAGAATGATAGGTTTGGTCGATCAGTTTAAATACATGGGATGTGAGATTGACAAAATAAGAATTTGTGCAGCTTGAAGTTGAGAGTAGGGTCAGTCAGGGAAGGAAAGTGGCTAATGCAATAAGAGCCCAGATTAGGAAATGCAAGATTGAAATAAATGTAGTCATAGGGCTGCATAAATGAATGATAGTGTTGACCCTTATGTATAGTTGCAAGATAGTGTGATATGAATATGGAAAATTTTGAGTAAAAATGGATAATCTAATCAGCATATATTTTATTAGGAAAAAAAGATAGCATAGGGAATGAAAATGTCATGTAGAGATATGAAGTGTAAAGATAAATAAACTGTGTATTGAGATGGTTTGGAAGTGTTGAACAAATGGATACTAATAAACCAGTGAAGAGAGTATATTCAAGTTAATTGTAGGGTAGGAAGAGGAGACAAAGGACAGGAAGTTGGATAGACATAAGGAGTGTGAGAAACCAGGGAGTGAGGTTCAACAGTGCCGTGGGATATGTTAAAGGACAAAGCCGAGTAGCAGCAGTTTGATGAAGAGAGTGTATGTATTTGTACTATTCATGAAAATTCACAAGAAACCCTGTGAACCTAGTCTTATGAAGAGATGGGATACTATTGTGAATGCCTACTTGAGTGTATAGTAGTGCTCGTTTGTGTTGCTGTATAGTGTAAATGATATAATGAATGGATGAGTGATGTCTTTTTTGTTTAATATTTATAACTTTCACACTACAGTACTTTATTGTCAATTTTCTCCAGGCTGATGCATTCCCTAGGAAAATGGAGAGTAAGGTATTAGTGATTTACAATTTTTTTAATTGAAACCAACAATTAGTCTTGTTATTTAATAATCTAGATATTAATTATTACTTTGTTTCATTAACAAATGGTTTTTAATATACATTCCTGAAAACTTGTCTTCCACATACAAAATACAATTACAGTGAAGCGAGAGTGTGTGTGTACTCGCCTAGTTGTGCTTGCGGGGGTTGAGCTTTGGCTCTTTGGTCCCACCTCTCGTCTATTAATCATCCGGTGTACAGATTCCTGAGCTTATTAGGCTCTATCATATCTACATTTGAAGTTGTGTATGAAGTCTGCCTCCACCTGACAGCTGAGGGGCCTGACAGCTGAATGGACAGCACTTCAGATTCGTAGTTCTGAGGTTCCGGGTTCGATCCCTGGTGGAAGCGGAAACAAATGGGCAGAGTTTTTTTCACCCTGATGCCCCTGTTGTTACCTAGCAGTAAATAGGTACATGAGAGTTAGACAGCAGCTACGGGCTGCTTCCTGGGAATGTGTAACAAAAAGTAGGCCTGGTCGAGGACCGGGTCGCGGGGATGCTAAGCCCCGAAATCATCTCAAGATAACTTCAAGATAACCTCCGCATCACTGCCTAGTGCATTCCATTTGATAACTACTCTGACACTAAAAAAAAAGTTCTTTCTAATATCTCTATGGCTCATCTGTGTACTCGGTTTCCTCCTGTATCTTCTTGTTCGTGTGCACCGTGTGTTAAATAAATTGTCTATCTACCCTATCAGTTCCTCAGAGACTCTTGTACTTGATGATCATGTCTCCCCCTAACTCTTCTTTCTTCCAGTGATGATAGTTCCCATAGTATCTCCTTGTAGCTCATACCCCTCAGCTCAGGTACTAGTCTGGTTGCATACCTATGAACCTTCTATAATTTAGTCTTGTGCTTGACAAGATACAAATTCCATGCTGGAGCTGCATACTCCAGGATTAGTCTGACATATGTGATATACAAGGTTCTGAATGATTCCTTACACGAGTTTCAAAAGACCGTCCTTATGTTGGCCAACCTGGCAGATATGCCGCTGATGATATCCTCTTTAGATGGTCAACCCCCAGGTTGGATGGTCATAAAGTATTTTATATACAAAATAATTTTGTTTAGTATTTAACTGCAGTTACTTGTCTCTGAACACTTAGGCATCTGTTGCGATTCATGTACAGTAGTTGAAATGACTGTATGCATTGATTAGAGTAGAAAAATGGCATGTATAATTTTTTTTTTAATAATTTTTATGTATCATTTTGTACATTAACATGCATGTATTAGCATTAGTGTCTGTAAAAATCATGATGTCATACCAAGATTATGAACCAGTCTTATAGTTTAATATAAATAAAGGATTAATAATAATATTCAGTGGCAGCCATTTTTAAATGCTAATTGTCTTGAAAGGAAATTAAAGTATTCAACCTACTTATTGCTATATTTTCCTAGTGCAATTATATTAGTGTTTTGTTAATTATATTACAGTATTTGGAATTTAACTTTAATTTCCTACAACTAAATATTAATGATTTCCAATGTCTTCAACTGCATAATTAATTTTAATTAAGTATTTAATTTATATTTAATGCAAGAACTGAGGACTAAGTCAGTCATAGTTCCTTTTTTTCTGAAGGGACACTGGGTACATTTTGAGGCAAGGACTAGGCCCATCAATTCAGTTTGAGGAACAGGTACCCACCTTTAGTAAATATCAAACATTCATGCAAAGATCCATATGAAGTTTCAGCATAAGATGTCTGTTTAAATAACCTTACATCTGTCAAAATAGATCTCAATGAATTGTGTGCAATGTCTATATTACAAATTAACAAATGATATACAGTATATTTTTATGAAGGCATTGTTAATTTAATGACATTGTTGAGCTTATCGGTGTACGAAGCATTATACAATGTAGAGCTTTACATGGTGTAGAGTTTTACACTGCAGTGTATAGTACATAAGTTTACACTGCAGAGCTTTGTATTGAGTAGTGTATTGCATTATACAAAGCTTAACACTACAAATATGCAGTTTTTTGCACTGCAGAGCTCTTCATTGTTTATAGCTTTATATTGTGCAAAGCTTTTCACTGTAAAGTGGGCTCTGTTATTTCTTAATGGCTTCTTATGTAGTCTATTTAATTTACTGTTTTAACAAACTATACAGTATTTCTTTGTAAATTAATTTCTGGAAGAATTATGATTTAAATTTTGTACATCCCAAACCACTAATTTTTAAGTATTTTAGCATTGTAATAGTATTCCCTGTGACTACTTGAATTAACATAAACTTGAGTGTTTCATAAATATTTCTGTTCGGTAAAGACATGTTTCTCTGATTTATATGGTAATAGTAATATATTTGGTAAAGTTTTCAAGTTAATATGTTGATAATAAATGTTTACTAATTTCAGTTGTAATCAACTAACCAAACTGAATTTACTTAAGCTATGTTTATTGCATAAAACATGTTTGAGTACACTGTATATAGTGTATCTCTGTGGTAATATTTAATGCTGAATGTTATAGCATGAATTATGTCTATAACCATATGTTATAGGTAATTTGTTTATGGGAACTTGGGTTGTGAAAATGTTCACATGGATAACATTCTGTTTAAATTTCCAGTCTTTTTAACAGTTTCTGCCTAACTTATTACCTGTATATGAACACCATTATGTCTTATTAGAATTTTTTTTTGTCAAGCTCCTCCCCAGGTAAGGCTCAAGAGTGTCAAACTTATCTTGAGAATTCTGGTGTATAAACTCGGTCATCCTAAAGTGCCTTCATAGCAACTTGTTAATTTAAATTTTAGTAGACTTCTGAGCTGAAGTCGAATTCTTCAAAATCATAAACCAAATGCTTGCTGGGAAATTTAAATTATTCTAGTTTGTATGTCATTTATATGTGGTAAATGCTACCTTGCATCAGGGTATCTGCATTCATTGTCATCTGGGCTTTCCTGGTAATGACTTTCTCCCTCCTACTTTTTATACACTAATTATATTCCCTAGCTTATCTCCTAAGTGTCATTGACTTTCTGCAAGTCCATGAAGGTTATGTTCCCTTTATTTTATTTTAACTTTCATGCATGCATACATTCTCAATAGGTTTTATGTGATTTAATATCCATTGTATGTTAAATGCTGTAAAACCTATGCAGAATTTTTGCTGAATGTATGTGAAAACTCTCCGTCCAAAATTTAAGCAGTTAATTCTGACAGCAGTTACGTCTGTCAGATGTCCATGGCGAGAAGCTGCATTATATATTTTATGTACTGTATTTGATGTATATATTTTAATAAACATTATTGAAGAAAATTTAAATGTTTCGTCCATAAGACTATTACCATGTAGTTTTATTTTTATTTCTTGGAAGAAAGATGTATTGCAAGAGACATTGGAAGAGCATATGAATACCCAAACTAGTGGGACCACTCATAACTCATCAAATTATATTCCCTTGAATATAGGCAAGAAATGTATCAACTTTCATTAAAAGTAAAAATTCTATTACATTAATGGCTCGAGGATTTTTAACTCCCTCTAAATATAAGGGCATTACTAATAGAACACACCTATTCAAGAGTGAACTGTATGAACACCTCCAAAGGATGCCAGATCAACTAGGCTGAGGGTCGTATGCAGCAATGACAAACAGCCTGATTAATGAGACATCAGCCAGAAGACAAGGTCACAGACTGGACTGTGTGGATACTGATTTCTGAAATTGCCTCGGGATACATTGTTGCTGCTCACAATTAGGAAGTATAAATTTTCTTGGATAGATCCTGAGATTTTAATTATTGCCATGTATTAGTCATTGGCTGACTTGGGTAGGATCCCAGGCTAAAGTGACTATTAAAGAGGTTTAAAACTAATTGATTATGTTAGCCCAATTAAAAATCCTGCAGCCTTGGTAACTAGAAGCAAAATTGAATAAATGCCCACCCGTGTACAAAAACAAAATTGTACAGTTGTCGCACTGCAAGACCATGCTGTTTTTATCATGCTTTTTGATGTACAAGTGCTTGCAGAATCAGCTCTTAATAGCAATCCACAATTAAAATATATATATGATTATTGTGGATTGGTACGTTATTCATGGTACCGATATAAACTATCGGTACCTTGAATAAGCAGTAGGTACCGATAGTGTACATAGTAACCCAAAGATGTTAAGGTAAATCATATCGCATTGTAATTACATATTTATTATAAGTTAATTGTTTCTGAAAAGAATCCATTAGAGTTCCCCTTCAGGGTTCCAGTCCTCTTTGATAAGGTCACCAGCTTTCTCGGCAATCATGATGGTGGCAGCATTGGGGCTGCCAGAGATGATGAGGGGCATGATAGAGGCGTCCACCACTCGCAAGCCTGTCACTCCATAAACCCTAGAATAGTGTAGATCATTATAGGTCACAACCAAGAATAGTGTAGATCATTATGTCACCACTAAGAATAGTGTAGAACTGTAGATCATTATAGGTCGCCACCAAGAATAGTGTAGATCATCACAAGTCACCACCACATTTACGATGATAAAAATGAACATTATTACCGCAATTATATATCATTTAAAAGGTACCAGTATTTTTTTAATACATTTCTAAGCCTTTCTAAAATAAAACAAGCATTGTCTTCATTAAAAACAAAAACAAAGTATCTACTAGTAATGTATTACAATACAATCATATTTATCAAGTAGTATAATAACGTGGATTTTAAGAGGTGAAAGTAATTTTCTTGCCTGAGTCTTTGATCGACAACAGAAAGTGGGTCACTCTGCGGGCCCATCTTGCAGGTACCAGCGCTGTGCCAGTAAGAAGAGGCCATGTGCTGCACGAAACACTCCCAGTACACATCATCTTCTTCTTTATAGGCAGTACAACCAGGCACTTTCTGGAGTTAGGCACTAGCTTATACAGTATATTATTGATATAACCTATATATTTAAATGTCACCTTGGGTTAGGCATTAAAATATAATGTGTATTATTTGTATAGCCAACAAAATTAAATGTAATCTTTGTTGTAAGCCTAGTGTAAAAGCGGAATTTTAGGACAGTATGTGACGTATGTGTGTGTCCAGTGTGTCAATTTTTTGTCATGGGTGTGTCAAATATGACGTATGTAGATATGGCTCTTTCATCAGTGACGGATTTATGCAGATTAGTTGAAAATGGTATTGTGTATGTGTGAGGTAGGCTGTTGAAAGTTTATGTGAGCAAAAATACAGTGCTTGGCGGTGGAGTCAAAATATGGTGAAATTAAATATGGAAGGTAAATCATAGCGGTTCGCTAAATTGACGGGCGGTTACACTTTCTATTTCTGGGTTCTCGGTTAGAATAGGTTAGGTTCGAGCACTAGTACAGGCACCGCTCCGGTGCCAGGTAAGTCCACTACAGGCTCACCATAGCCCGTGCTACTTGCCCCGCTCCTGTGCCAGGTAAGTTACGGGCTCACCATAGCCCATGCTACTTGCCCCACTCCTGTGCCAGGTAAGTTACGGGCTCACCATAGCCCGTGCTAAATCTATAACAACAACACTAGTACATCACTCTTATGACATGACAACTCGAGGGGACAGGATGGGTGGAGAGAGAAGAAAATTATGTGCAAGGTAAAAATGTGAATGCTGGAAGTTGTTGAGCAGTTTAAATACAACTACATTACTGCTTGAGATTACTCTGCTGTGTGTATATAAATTAAAAAAAACACTTCACGTAAACTATTGTATAGGATAAAATACTTGAAAAGGGATTCTTACCTTACTGTGGAATTTAGCTCCATGGTTCTTAAGGGCTGGAGTTTCGCCAATTTTCACGGCAAATTTTATCCCTGAAAGTATGTAACTAAATGATTCATGTTGTGAATGTAAAGAGAGCAAACAAAATAAACAAATATTAAACTAAAAAATGTCGAGAGGAGCTTAATTTCGAGTAATTTATCTAAATTAAAGCTACTAAATAAAAAAATTATTTGATATTGTTTTTAATCAATCTGTTTTCCCATTGTCAGGGATGCAGGGACATGAAGTTTGCTAGGCTTTGTTTCTAGTTCCCTTGGGCCAACAACTGACGTATCCTAGGATGCAACCCACAACAATTGCATAACTCCTGGGTACAAATATAATGTTAGTTAAACATAAATCAGATGTAACGACACGCTCAAACATCTTGACCTGCCCAGGACTCGAACTGAGGTCCAACCGGTTGTGGGTCGACTGCTGTAGCCACTACAAATTAATACTATTTACGCATTTGTTGTCTCCATGTTATGGCCGACAGCGACAATACTCACCCTTGGCCAATGTCTTCAGGTCGTCATCGTCACTGAGGAACTGGGGATCAATAATTGGGTTGTCTTTCGGGTTGTTTGAACTCAGCGAGAGTGAGCCACGACTCTTGGGATGTAGGAGAGACACCATCATCGTAAAGCCTTTCATTCCCAAAATTGGCGTGTAGTAATTGAGATATCTCTGTGGTGCGACAGTTGGTTAATTAATTAAAGGAGAGTTTATTGTAAATTATTCAAGTTTTCTTCGATATTGCGTTTTTAAACACTCAGGGACATAATGAACATTGTTTAATTCAAGCGTGGTTCATAATAATACTCATAATAATACAAGAGGACTATGATTACCACGTTGGCACGAGCAACATGTTAGGAAACTAATTCTTACCGCTTGATCCATGCCATAGATGTACGGGACGAAGAGTCCCTGGTCGGCATGGAAGGAAGCAGGAGACAGGAAAACCTTGACATCAGGGTAGTTCTTGGCCCCGTCGTCAGTCACCTTGGCCCAGGCGCTGCCGTAGTCACCCACAGGTGCAGAGTATGGCCCTGTAGACCTCATTCACTACAATTGAACCATCTTGTATAACTAGGTTGCATTATTATAAGTAACCTTTTAGCGTTTTCCTGAACACCTTTATGTAACTGGAATCTTTCCAGGCTGGGTATAAGGTACCATGCTGGGTGTAGGGAACATAATTAAAAGTAATTTAAGAGATGTCTTAAAAATTTAGCTAAGAATATTGTGCTAAAACAAGGGGGGGAATACCACTACTGTTAAATTTTAGGGTAACAACGGCAGTACATTGTTACGGTAATCTGCTTGTTCCTTTACCGCTTATTCACCAACGGATCTGCATGCTCCAACATCATGATTCAACATCAACGACAACAACAATACATGCCCAAAACGTATGGGTATCTAGACACACCTTCCCCTTCCAGTACCCATGACACCTACTGTCTAGGCGAGGAACCAGACGCCACCCGCCACCAGCTAACGATCGTTTACCTGCCGGCTGATTGTTAAACCTCCAGAATTCGCGCCAACTATGACGTCATGCCCCATATATAAGGAATTGCCAGCGTCCAGCTCAACAGACTACCCTTCGAGTGCTCTCAGCTGTACTATCTCCCAACCCCATGGTGATGGTAGACGCACACAGCATTTTGTATAAAATATTACCTGCACTATTAATGTTTAACGTAAATTTCACATGTGTATATATATATATCTTTTGATTATGTGTAAGCCTAGTGGATAAGGGGTTTGTTTCAGTTTTTGTATTATTATTAATGTGCGATGGGCACAACACCTGCCCGAATAACCACTGCTCTATTCCAGATTCTCGTTACAACAGTAATTGGTAAGTCGTGGAATTCTATGAAAATTTGATTTTAGTATAACAATAAGCAACTATTGATAACTGAAGACTAATGAGTTTACAAACTGACAGTACCAAACCAAATGGTGAATAAGCAGCAACAGCTGAACTAATGATATGTCAATGTATGATCACAAATAGCAGATAATAATCACTGGAAATTACTCCTTTATTATCTAAGGTTCAAGCCCTTGGTCTTATGTCCGGACTTTGTGATATTGGAATAACTGTTTCCTGAATAATTAGTTGTATTATCAGAGCAGAGCTTTTATTATGTTAATTTTATTTACTCAATTAGTGATTATTAATTGGCAATGAGATTTATTTATTTGTATGACATACACTGTGTTAACAGTGCCGCTAGCCTAGTTAGGCGTTTAAGTGATGATAACCTAATTAAGACGTCTTTATGCATGTTATTGAATTATATATTACTAATACTTTTTGAATTATTGTCATTAGCACTGCTAAAAATTGATATTTATTCGTGCAGTATAAATACCTCCCTTCTACTTCACCCCCCGTCATAACTAGTCTGTAGTTCTTCGACCTCTAATAAAATAAATCTTTGGTCTTTATTCCATGCAGTGTAAAAATCTTGACAATTGGCAAAATAAATATGGATTTAAAATTCTTTACATACAAAACTGATTAGTAACTACATAATATCAAGAAGGTACTGTAGTGAGTCCATTGCCCGGCTAACTTTACCATTATAGCATAATACTTGACTAATATGTAACTGGTTACGTAATTTAGTTGATCTTAATAATGTATGCAGCATCTACACGACTTTTAAATATACACAAAGAATCTGTCCAGCAGTGCACAATTGTTTTGGATGCCTACCCAAATTGATCAGCGTCTAACAAATTAAAGGTTACAGGGACTCTACCTTTTCGTTCCGACATGTACTCGTTGATGGCGCTGGAGTTGAAGAGACTCGGGAGGACTGTGTCGGAGGGCAGGGTCCAGGCCAGTCCGTACACCCCCAGGTGGTCCTGCAGGTTCTGACCCACTCCTGCTACATCTGCCACCACCTTCACCTGCCTCGCACGCAATATTATTAGCGTCTTGTCTACATCAGGATGCAATTCATACAAATCAATCGGCTTCTAGGTATCTATATTTACTGCTAAGTGAACATTATTGTTAGGAAAAGTGCCCAAACGTCTTTCCTTACCCACGAATCGAACCCAGAACCAATCAGTTGCTAGCAAACTGCGTTATAATTACTTCGCGTAATGATAATTTTCTGAACCCCGTTTTTTTTTTTTTTGCAAGTGTTAGCATGGGGGAGAAAGTGGAAGACTAACCTGGTGTTAGCATGGGTAGAGAAAGTTGAAGACTAACCTGGTGGTGTTGCAGGTGGTCAGAGGGTCCCACGCCCGACAGCATGAGCAGCTTTGGTGAAGCCAGCGACCCCGCGCTCACTATCACCTCACGTTCTGCCTCGGCTATGTAGTTCTGTACAAAAGGCAACACGGCAAAGACTGAATTAGGTGTAAAATGAGCATGTTTCATGTCTGCCTTTCTCTTTTACTTCATACTAAGAGTTGATCTTTTAATCTTAGAAACTACATTCCATAGTTATTGCATTAATGAAACTGATACATGAAATATATAGATTTTAAGTACTATTTACTGATTGTTATGACTTGTTATACAGTTCAAATACAACTGAAAGTCTTCCAAATTACTTTTTACAACTTTTGTCTTGCCTATTAAAAGACGTAACATTCAGCGTTCATTAAAAAGTGAGATCTTGACATTTGAAATTGAATAATGACATTTTTAAGGATGATGTGCCATAAATGGGTCTCCTGAGGGCCCTTGTAATCCATGGTACGAGGGCCATTCTTGGCCTCCTGGATGATAATTAGGGCCATAATGGGCCTACTAGGGAGGATCACTAGAGCCATAATAGGCCTCCTGGGGGATCCTGGGGCCTTAATGGACTCCTAGGGGATCACTGGGGCCTTATTGGGCCTCCTAGGGGATCACTGGGGCCTTATTGGGCCTCCTAGGGGATCACAGGGGTCTTGTTGGGCCTCCTGGGGGATCAGTGGGGCCTTAATGGGCCTCCTAGAGGATCAGTGGGGCCTTAATAGGTCTCCTAGGGGATCAGTGGGCCTTAATGGGCCTCCTAGGCGATCACTGGGGCCTTAATGGGCCTCCTAGGCGATCACTGGGGCCTTAATGGGCCTCCTAGGGGATCACAAGGGCCTTAATGGGCCTCCTAGGGGATCACTGGGGTCTTATTGGGCCTCCTTGGGGATCACTGGGGCCTTAATGGGCCTCCTAGTTGGTCATGAGTGTCGTGTCAAAGCCAGCTCACCTCTCCCTGATATTCAAAAATCACACCAGTGGCTTTTTTATCTTCATTAAACTCGATCTGCAAAGATTAGGAGTGCAAGTTAAATGCATAAACTTTTTATATTCAAAACAATAATCTTAAATTATGTTACTCCATTTAAATGTATTTACTTAAATTTTAGGCTTCAATAAATAAGGTATGAACATATATTCCTTTTTGTTATACACTATTACAAACAAGCGAAGATGGTGACGGTAGCATCACCATTCTTGGTGATGGTGGCAGTATTGACCTACCTTGATAACGTTGGCAGTGTGCAGGATGTGAAGGTTATCCCACGAGGCTGCAGGTCTTAAGTACGCCTCGGCTGATGACGACCTTAAACCGTTCTTGATATTGTAGTACGGTTTTGAAAAGCCTACAATACATGGAGCTTAATTACCGAAATCTACGGTTTTGAAAAGCCTACAATACATGGAGCTAAATTACCGAAATCTACGGTTTTGAAAAGCCTACAATACATGGAGCTAAATTACCGAAATCTACGGTTTTGAAAAGCCTACAATACATGGAGCTTAATTACCGAAATCTACGGTTTTAATTTGTATGATTAATTGTATTCAAATGTATCATTATCAGCTCTTGTTAGCTACTTAATTTTATAACATTAAAAATAGGTCTCCAATGGAAAAACAAATTAACAGTACCATCAGTTATGGTATATTTATTTAGTAATGTTGCTAAAGTGTTGTGTCATCTTAAGTTTTTCTTGTCTAGTCACCCGCTCCTCGAGCCATGGTATTATTAATTATTAATAATTATTATTATTATTATTGCAACTCATCCTCAGGCAATGCTCGCAAACGCTGCGGCTGACCCCAAAGACTCATTCGTTAATTTTAACGTACTGTATAACCATAAATCTATATTTTCTCGCATTTAAATTTGTATATATATGCGTATATAAAATTTACACGTTGTGTATAATTAGTCCTAGGATAGGTTAAACGTTTTGGCTCTGCGGGTGAAGAATGTAGAGGTGCAACTCAAACGCTACACACAGCCAGAAACAATTCAGCCTCTTTTCATTGCTGAAAAGAGGCTTTTCAATTCAATCTTTTCATTGTTAAGTTACATATTAATTTTACTCAATGTTAATTATCCTTGGCTATTTTCCCTTCATTTTTACCCATTTTTTTAATAAAAAAAACTTTCCCTGCCGCACAGAGGTAAGCCTCAGTCGTGTTTACATCAAGGCGGCTGCTTGGGAGGGGCTCCAGTTGTTGTTGATATAAGGAGGACGACGCCCGTAAGACCGGATGCCCTCTGGGAGAGCCTTTGAACTTTGAAAATATATTTGAGCACTGTGCCCTTCGTAATGTTATATGTTGTAGAAACTGCAAGCGATTTATACATGGCCGCTTACCAATTGTTGGCCGGATCTGTGGTAAGTGTCACTCTTAAACAATCATTCCTGATCCCTTCGTGCGTGGTTCTTTAATGTTAAAAATCTATGATTTTCGTCAGTGATTGATATTGGGTATTTAGAATGACGTATTTATTATCTTAAATTCGTAATGCATATGTTTATTTGGTCGTCAAGGAGATGGTAAATTTGAAATTAATAAGGACATTTAATTTATTTATCAGCAATTATTATATGAAGTTTAGTTTAGTTTCAAAAGTGTTAACAATAATACTGCTATCGTAAATAATTTAACATCTTTTTATTAGTTATTAGAATTTGTTTCCTAAACGTCTTTAAGCATTTTCGGTTGTACTTACGCGATTTGGATGTCTATAACTTGTTTTAGGAAAAGTAGAACTTCCTTAAATTTGCAATATGCGCAGCCTGACGTCATGGTCAAAGGTTGGGCGACAGTCTTACGATCGGTTTGTGCATAAGTTAATTATCACATTGCACAATTAGGTGAGTACATCTAGAGTTCTACTCTTGATGAGTGTTAAGGTCATTCTGTATTGGAATATTTTATTTTGTAATTTACAGGAAAATAGTCAACATATATATTTTATTGACAATGAAATTGTGAATTTCTTGGCAAGCAATTGTCTGAAACTCAGGATGACTTTGAGTACATAAACTTCATGGATTTAAATGACTTGTGGTCAGCACTCTTTTTAAGTTTTCTTCCATGAGCCTTTCATGGAAAGGTATACAGTATTAACTTTTTTTCCTAAGCTCTTGAAAGTTGTCACATTTTTTTTAAGTGATTTGGAAACTTCCTTTCCGATTTTAATGAATACATAGTTTCGACTATGTGGATCCAACTTAACTAGTCGAACCGCTTGGTTATTTATATTTGAGAAAATATCGATTTTACAGTAAATTAAAATTTTTGAATGCGTCTATAAAGGGACCGACCCCAGCTTGGAAGAGAATGGCATATCAACCCGCCTTCCGGCCAGATTCGTTAAAGCTGCGGTCGTCCCCCAAAAGACATTCATAAATTTTATTGTATTGTGCATTAAAATAGGTTTATGCTCATTATTTTAATAATATATGTTACACTTCTATGTATAGTTAGGCGTAGGTGTTCAGGTTCTTTTGGCGATTATTTGTAACTGAAGTACGTGGGTGAAGAATTTACAAATTAAGTTGCGATTCGAACAAAGATGGTCGACGAAACACTGTTCGAACGTTCTCAGTCGTAATTAGTGTGTAAATCGTTTTTTTTTATTCACAAACAAAGCGTTTGCCGGTTGGATTAAAGAGTATTGGCATTTTGTTGATGAGGATGTGTTGCTAAACTCCCAGTCTTATTCTCAAGGACAAATTTTTTCCACAAATTTAATAGGTTTTGCATACTATTACCAATACAAAGGACCATCGGATTCATAATGTCTATGAACATATGGACTAACTATGGACATATGGACATATGGAGTATGGACTAACCCAATTAGAGATTGTTCATATTTTGTACATTTGTAAGTCTTACTCTGTTGGATGCTATGAAATGAATCGGGCTTCATTCCTGATTGTAAATATTGTAAACACTTCCTATATCAATGTAACCGAGCCACATTAACTAGGGTAACCATGCCTAAATCTACTATATATAATCATTTATATTTCCGAACATTTATTAGTCATATACTGATTGATTGTTATATAGTCAGATAGAGGGTGGGATGGTCTTACCTAGTAGATCGGGGCCATTAGGATCGATGTTGCTGTAGCCGAGGTCTTGTCCTGCCTGGAAGAATGCGTTGGAAAGTTGATTGGTACTGGGTCCTGGAGTCACTGCCATGGGTCCCCCATGACCATGGAACTTCTCTAAGGGCAACAAGAGATCACGATTACTGACAAGGAGGGAATAAAATTCACAGGGTACACAAGATGCTTTGGCAAGGAATTTTTTTTTACCCAGCACAGTCTAACCCAACACAGCCTAATCGCCCTAAGTTATACATACTCACCGAACGATAAATACGGTTTTAGTTATCAGAAAACGAGCATTGTCGAATCGACGTGAGAATGATTTCACCATATACCGGCAAGGGTGATGTGTGTAGTATTTATTAGAAGAGTTTTGTTAGGAAAAGAATATATTTGTAGGTTATGAAAAGCCTAAGCACTATGTCCCATTTATGTATCGTTTGATACCCTGATTGTACCGTTTGGAATATAATGGTGGGTTTAAATTTGTTATATTTATGGGTACGTTTCTAATATACAGTTTTGTATTGCTGGCTGATAAAGTGTATGCAATTGTACCAGCAATTTATTACACAATACATTGGGTGTTTGACTTTATATGCGAGGGTTTTGTATACGGGGGGATCTGTTATTCAGGCCATTGAATTTTCAACATAATAAATGAGAAGTATAATTATACTTGATTTTATCACTATTTAGCAAGCGATTTATATTGCATTGCAGATTCATCATTCAAACTTATACCGATTGTTGTATTAAACTCCATCTAGTTAGAAAACGTTCCATTCACCTAGGTTTTATAGTTAGAAAACGTTTTCTTTGGATTCGCATGACCCCGACCACAGTGCCTGGGACAAGCTGCGTTATACTGTACTCCCCCTTTCCCTTCATGATAGGAACCTTGTGTTGGTATTGCTGATGAGCCTTTCATGGAAATAAGTATGGTTATGAAGGGAAGGTGTTTAATTGTTTGTAATGAATCTTCATCGGTTTGATTTATTGCCACTATAACTCCATTGCAAAGGTATTATTACAATATTGACAATTGCATTGTTACATTAAATCTCAAGTATTTCTGTTACATCTCTTAGAACTCGTCCTCTCAAGTAATGCGCCTCATTTTGTACGCTATGATCGCGTGTACAAAATAAAAGTTTCTATAAAAAATAGCGGCTCACAAATATTATTTTTTTATATGCAGTTTGGTTAGGTTATGTGGGTGGCTTGGGTTCGTGCGTTTATTACCCTTTAGTGCCAAATCTAAAGAACGGATGCCGGCTCACCTGTAGCTCCCATATCACCACCTAAGAAATCCTCCGCCTTCTTGAAGTAGTAGAGAACGCTGTCGTAGTCCCAGTCAGTGTTGCCGAGGTCGGCCCAGTGATCGTAATCCTGCTTGGAGCCTCGTTCGTACACCATCCCGCCTGTGGTCGAACACCCGCCCACCACCTTCCCTTGGGGGATCACCGCCCGCTGATCCACACAAGGAGAGTTTGAGTAGCAAGAGGTTAATTAATGGAATCAGAGAGAGATATAGTGTGTGTATGCGCGCGTGTGCGTAAGTGTATATATATATATATTCTAACAAGCCTAGAACCATAATTCTGGCGAACATGTGTACTCAGAAACACCCCCATTAATGCTATTCGCATCATTGAGACCAATACATTTCAAAAGTGTAATTAAAGCCGGAGATACACATGTGTTCGACTGAGTCCTACAATCTCTCACAGACGTGACAATTAAAGTCGCCACCAAAAATAACATTTCGTGTATCATGTCTGAAAAATACAATAACTCTTTTTTAAGAGAACAATTCCTCCCTCTCTTCCTGCGGGTGCCAGAGGGAGCATACACAGTTAAGCAGAGGAATTATGGTGTCAAGAAAGGAAATCCTCGCATATAAAACATTACAATTATCATCCATTTCGGTATTAAGTACCTTCATGTGGGCCTGTTTAGCAATCAATATCATCGTACCATCTTTCAACAAGCTCGTAGGATTTATTAGAATTTAAAAATAATCAAGCATGTATTGAGTGTCTGTGTGAGTGCACGTCTGTGCATACGTCTGCGTCGTGACTAGGTACACTGTAGTACCTGCTCGAAGAAGTTCCTGAGGCCGTGGGGTTGAGGCTCGGTGAGGTAGTCCCAGTTGTTATTTCCCCGGACGTTGCCGAGGGCGACGAGGCCGGGCACGAAGGTCTCAGGGGCGGGTGGAGCTCCGGCCTCCAGCACCAGCACCTTCCACCAGCTGACCTCCGCCAGTCTCGCCGCCAGAACGCTGCCCGCCGACCCGGCCCCTACTGTTGGTAGGTTGTGGTAGTGGTCACGGCTCGTGCTCATTTAAAGGTACTTAATCATTCACTTACACATACTCACATACACGTGAAACGTGTGAAAATCACGAAGAAATTAACGTGATAATAATGTGAAAATTAAACCAGAAATGACTAGCACTTTTATGTTAATCAACGTATCTTCAAAAGTGTGTGGGTGTGTGTGTAGAAGCAGAAATGATCTCTAAACTACATTTTACAGCACATTGATAATTGTATAAAAAATTAAATACAAAAATACGAAAACCATATTTTAGTAACCGAGCTAAGATTTCATAAGGACGCATGATAGATATTATGAGCTGTATACATTCAAATATGTCAAATACAAACTTACAGATCAAGTTTCATTAATTTAAACTGCTTTCGAAGGCCTTATATGCAATTTATTTAAATTGCATATAAGGCTGCAGGTTCTCCATCCCTGCCCCAGATATTAGAGGCTGCTTTAACTGTACTACGTGTACAGTTAAAGCAGCCTTCGCACTGCTGGCGAAGAGTGCAATTGTTTGTGCATTACTGATGTTTGAGGTGCTCACCGTTATTGCAACATGGGAATCCAACCCATTCTCCTGTTTAGATAGTAGTTTTTGTAACTATGTGCACCATAGTACAAAGATTGACATACTAAGCAATTGGATAGTACACTTTTGTACTATTCACTTTATAGTCTGAAACGGTTAAGCTAAAAACCAAACTGAAATATTCCTAGGTCTAGTATAACACACACATGTACTATATTAAGCCTCAAATGGCGTGTATTAGGCCTAGGAAGGTTAGGTTAGTTATGTCTTTGCAACATAAATACAAAACCTTTCCTGGTTTGTCCAAATTTAATAGTTCAAATTTTCTACTTCTACTTGCGTTGTGTGTCGGTATATGTACTATGATCCTCATCGTTACTATAAATACTGCCAAAACAAGAGGATGGGCTGTGAAATCATTAATCCTACATTTATTTAACCTAACTTGAGCATGTTTTGCCCGCTGGGAATCGTTTTCCATGTTGGGTAATGGATATTAGAAGACCAAGTGAGAGAGCTGTGGAGGAACTTACCAATGATGAAGTCATATTTCTCCAGGAATTGTTCAGGTCTGTCGTAGTCCTTGGTGGCCTGCTGTGCCTCTTCGACCATCGCCGTCAGAAGTATCCGCACTAAAGGCATCAACGACGCAAGCACCATCTGCGTGGGTACCGCCCTCAAAATTTCCACGACCATCGTCGATAGTAAATTTTAGCTTGCGCACCGGCTGGGTTAGGCTTCAGCTTGCGCACCGGCTGGGCTAGGCTTCAGCTTGCGCACCGGCTGGATTAAGCTTTAGCAGCGCTTCCAGACTGGTTTCCACAGTAAAATTACTGAAAAACTCCGCACAGAATGTTGTTGTAAGGTTTGTGTTTTTGAAATTACTTAATCAATTCGATGACCAAATCATACATCAGAAAATGGAAAAAAACGAGGTTTCGGTCTGTCCTGTACCATTATAAAAGTCGTATCTTAAGCCACGTTATTGTCACTCATCGTCTGCACTTAATTTTATTTTTAGAAAATGATCAACGATCTAATCTTTTCTACTTCACGTCATATTTCGAAGACCCGTTCGCTATACTGTAATTAACTTTTAACTATTTACACTCATTACCAAGAGTTGCATAGCAATAATACTGAGGTCTACGATAGATGTTTTAGGCAGCGTTCTATTGATCAAGTCAGAGATATTTGAGTGAGGCATGAAGGCAGATATTTGTCGAAGGCATCGTTCACTAGGGCGGACATGTACAAATTTGAGCAGCGGCAAGTTAAGACTGGTTGCGATTATATCTTGTCATGTGGCGAGTCATGTTTGTTACGGTATACAAAAACTTGTATGCGGTTTGCTAACAAAAAAAAAACTGGCTATATAACAAGCTTATGAAACTCTCATCCCAGTTATCGTCTTGTTACTTTTATTTGATTGATGCATTTTTTCGCTATCATTGATGGTCTGTAGTCATATTTTAGAACTAAATATAGTTTTCAAATTTACTCTACAAACAGCTCTTGCTTCAAAATTTTTAGTCACCACAATAATCACCCGTTGCAATATAGTAGTTGAAATGCAATATAGTATGGTAGTTAAGTTCATTTCTCGCACCCAAATCATCTAATCATATAATATGACGCATAATAGATATCGGCACAACCATGAGTTCTGATACGATTGGTATTTAGGTAGCCTTAGGACAAAATTAATAGTTCATTTTTTCGTATCGGTGCAATTCGATCCTCGTTGCCATGGTCAGGTAAGGCGCTGATGTTCCTCTGGATCTAAACGTCCTCCTTCCTGAGCAGCACCTACAAATGTACACAAACATGTTAGAGAAAGCAGCAACAACAACGCTTAAATCAGGTGTGGGAGATGAATGAAAGGGTTGGAGGAGAGAAGCAAGCGAACGTAGACTGTGGTAAGGTGTGTAGCGAAGCGAATAGACAGATATATTGTGTTCACGATCACCAACAGACAAAAATATATATATTACAGTAAAAAAAATTGCTTTACATTTTGGAAAACATTCACTGTATTATTATTTCCAGAAATAGTAATTTTTATTACGTATAGTTTTTTCTTAAGAGATGGTGAATGTTGTCATACGTAGATGCTAATTAATAAATGTAGTATTTTCCCTTGTAAATTGATGTAAATATGATCATTATATTGTATATTATTTAATAAAGGAAACAAATTCAAAGTATCAATCTTTTCTTTGGTGCTGACAGACACTGTGGCGGGGGAGTGCAGAGGGAAGCAGCCTCGTCACGTTGGTTGTAGAGCACATTACTCCTCTCACCTCTGCAGGTAAGTCAGCGTTTTGTTTATGTTTAAATTGTGTTTGTAAATGAAGCTGTCACGAGAGAACTAGTACTATTATAGACCTTTTTTTTATCAATACCTGCACGCGATATTTGTGACTACTGTTAAAAAGTTTCAAGATTTGTAACAAAACTTCCAGCTTGCAAAAATGAGAGCACAAAACAAAATTAGTTCGTGCGCAAAAAAACAACAATTTGCATATTCACATAACTGGTGGAGAATGTAGTTTGGTTGGTCGGTGCATGAGTAAGCCAGATGGCACTGATAAGAACAGACTGAGCAAGAAACAAGTATCATCATGACTCTGCAAGCCTAGTTCAGGCTCGCTGACCTGCGTCATTTTGATCAGAACCTGCAGACCATAGGTTTGGTGTAATTTCTAATGCCTTGAGTGTGTGGTATGACACACCGTCTTCAATAGGCGCTGTGACAGACTAAAAGTTGATACTACCCTCGTTGTTCAGGCTAGGGAGCGATATCTTCATTGTTGTCAGTGTTAAAGAGAAGATAAGAGAAATAATTTTGCTCTTCCTTCGTCGAACGAACATTTATCTCACATTGTTAATGGACAATTGAGATGTATATTGTTCTGTCGTTTGAGGAGAGTCGAAATGTTTATCTTTATCTGTACTCTCTCCGGCAAGCAGTGGATATCTAGAGTAATGGTAGACAGCAAGTCAAGGATGTGGGCCGGTATGCATATATGAGTGTCCCTGCTCTGGGTACCTCATCATTCTCCTGTTTAGATAGTACTGTTTGTAACTATGTGCACAATAGTACATATATTGACGTAAAAGGCAATTAGAATTTGGTACTATTCACTTTATAGAGTACGAAAAAATAAAGCTAAAAATAAACTTTAAATATCCCTAGTTGTAGTATAGCACATATATGTACTATATTAAGCCTAAGATAGTGTGTGTTAGGCCTAGGAAGGTTAGTTTAGATTGTCTTTGCAACATAAATACAAAACCTTTCCGGTTTGTCCAAATTCAATAGTACCGATTTTACTTGTTATTTACCTTTTACGTCAATATATGAACTATGGTTATCTTGAGGTTATCTTGAGATGATTTCGGGGCTTTTTAGTGTCCCCCCCCCCCCTCTCTGTTCACGGTGCCCAACCACTTAGGCTGGACAGTCTCGCTTCATGCAGGTCGGCGTTCAATCCCCGACCATCCAAGTGGTTCGGCACCATTCCTTTCCTTCCGTCCCATACCAAAATCCTTATCCTGATCCCTTCCAAGTGCTACATATATAAGTCGTAATGGCTTGGCGTTTTCTCCTAATAGTTCCCTTCCTTTCCACCCCTGTTCAATCATTAGTACAGTAATTGGAAACTTGGATATAAAACGATTGGTTGAGGTGTGTTCTGGGTAAAACGTGGCACTGACTAACCTAACCGGTTCCAGCATCTGGGTCTGAGTCCCAAATCATCCCCCCCACCGGGGAGCCGGTCGGCCGAGCGGACAGCACGCTGGACTTGTGATCCTGTGGTCCTGGGTTCGATCCCAGGCGCCGGCGAGAAACAATGGGCAGAGTTTCTTTCACCCCTATGCCCCTGTTACCTAGCAGTAAAATAGGTACCTGGGTGTTAGTCAGCTGTCACGGGCTGCTTCCTGGGGGTGGAGGCCTGGTCGAGGACCGGGCCGCGGGGACACTAAAAAGCCCCGAAATCATCTCAAGATAACCTCAAGATAAGAAGATAACCCACCCCCCCACCCCGTCTACCACCACAAAAACAATTGCCTACTGACTTCTTCTTGAATCACGACAGCGAGGTTGCCAGTTCGTTCTTCATATATAATGATTATTAACGTTTATATATATATTATATTTTATTATTTAATTCACCTCGGGCCTTTCATCTACAGTAATGTGGTTTACATAGTCTAGTGATTGTGGTACTCTGTACGCCTAGGGGGTTCCTGGGAGGCTGGGGTTCGAATCCTAGTCACGTCAATAGAGTTTTTATATACAGTAATATATATTATATATATATTATATGTAATATTATATATAATATTACTGAAAATGACAGAAAGGATGAGATCAGTGTTTCTAGCCCGAATCTTCTCTATTTTTCTAAAGTTTGTCTTCACTTAAGAAGGAAATTGAAAAATTAAATCTCCAAAGTTAATTTTCTAATTTTATTTGGCCTGACGCTAAGACATGCATTTAGTTAACCCTTCTTAACATTATGAAAGGCAGAGTTAGAATGCTTACAAATATGTATAAGCATTATATAGCTGCAGGATATATAGCCGGGGATGAGATGAAGATGCCAATAATTAAGGTAAGAAAGTTAAAATTAGTTCCAACTCATGCATCCTATATAGCTCTTAAAATCGGTTTAGCGGATTTTTTTTTTGTGTGTGGCCCTAATTGGGTTGGATTGTTATATCAATTTGTATTGCTATATAGTGCGCCTGTATATACAGTACTGTATAGCGCGCCTGTGGTTTTTGTTTAAACAATTATCACATATAGATTATATTTACATTTAAAGCATTTCCATTAGATTTGTATTGTTGTTAACGGGATATCTATAAGAGGAATTTACGAACCATTGCTCATGACGGTCGTGGTTGAGCGTGTGGTTATTTGTATTCAGTGTTTGGTGTTACATGAGCTCTACCTGCAATGTATTCGGTGCAAGATGTTCCCTGAGCGTTACTTATGCACTACCTGCAGTGGTTTCTGCAGCCGACAGCTGCTGCCGACCGTAATATTTCGTGGCCAAACGCCAGGTGAGTGATAATGGCAACTGGCTGGGTGTATCTTTAAATTGCAGTGTTAATGATGGATGTGTGTGTGTGTGTGTGTGTGTGTGTGTGTGTGTGTGTGTGTGTGTGTGTGTGTGTGTGTGTGTGTGTGTGTGTGTGTGTGTGTGTGTGTGTGGTTAAAGGATAGCTAGGCTTGTGTGGTATCTCGTCTTCCCAGTACAGTACTAGTTTGACGCATTAAAACTACTAACGGTTTTGGACTCCACCACCTTATTGAACTTATTCCAACCCTCTACCACTCTGATTGCAAAAGTGAACTTTCTAATATTTTTTTTTATGGCAGCTTTGTTTCCTTAGCTTGAATTTATGACCTCTTGTTCTTGAAGTTCCAGGTTTACATATTTCCTCTTTGTCAATTTTGTCGATTTCTGTTACTATTTTGTATATAGTGATCATATCGCATCTTTTCTTTTTCTTCTGTCTTCTAGCATTGGGATATTTAACACAGCCTCTCCTTGTAGCTCTTGTTTTTCAGTTCCGGAAGCTATTTCGTAGCATGTCTTTGTACCGTTTCTAGTTTATTGTTGTGCTTTTGAGATATGGACACCATACAACCGCTCCATATCCCAGTTTTGGTGTCACAATGGGCGCGGAGAATTTTTTTTAATATTTCAACATCCATGTATTTAAAAGCGATTCTGAAGTTGGAAATCCTACCATTGGCTCCTCGCTTAAAAAGAGGATTACACTGATGTTGTGCCCGTTATGTGTTTGAGGCCAGGAATGACGCTCCCACACCTGGGCCAGGATTCAACACGCATTTACACATCTGCTTAGAAACCTGTGCATCTTGTCTCAATCTATGGCAGCATTGCTGACATTTTTTAAACGGTTTATATGAAACTTCCCCATCAAATGTTCGTATTGTTATAAACAGACACGTAGTGCTGCGAAGTTCATAAACTGTTTAATAAATGTCAACAAAGCCGCCGAAGAGAGAAACGATGCATAGGTTCGTTAGTACTTTAAGAATCCTGTCCCTGGTCTACTGCGGCTCCTGAAGTGTGTGTGTGTGTGTGATTATACTCTCACATTTGTGCCTGCAGGATCGAGCATGACCTCTACAATCCCGCTTTTCTATCCGGTTGCTTAACAGGACTCTAGACCCATTTTTCTATCATATCTACTTTTAAAATTATGAAGGGAGTTTGCCTCTACGACCTGCTCCTTTAGTTCATTCCATTTTGACACTACTTTTACACTAAAAGAAAATCTTCTAACATCTCTTGACTCATCTGAGTCTCAAGCTTTCACCCCATGCTCTCTTGTACTATTGGTATTCATTGTAAACATTTCGTCTTTTTCCACTCTGCCAATCACTCTTAAGTATTCCATTCGTCGCTATTGTCCCCCTCCCTCTCCTCCTTTCTAGCGTCATCAGGTTTAGTTTTTTCAGTCTGTCTTCATACTCCATCCCTTTCAATTCTGGTACGAACCTTATTACAAACTTGTGAACCTTTTCGAGTTTTATTAGATGAGGGCTCAATGATTCGGTGGCTGACTCTGATACTGGTCTCACGTAGGTTCTGTACAGCGATCTAATTAATTATCAACGGAAAATGACAGCGATCTAAATGCCTCCTTATTTAGGTTCTCAAATGATATTCAGACTTTTTCTAGTATACGGTAGTTTTTTTTTTTTTGGAAGGGGGAGGGGATATTAGGTGTGTTTAGGATACATCAAAAGGATA